CGTGCCCGGCCACCCTCCTCCCGGGCCGGGCTGCGAGGGGGATGCTCTGCCCGTGCTTCGGGCAGAGGCCTCCGGTGCAGCATCGCGCTCGGTGTGAAGGTCCGCGCTGATGGGGAGCACCAGCAGCCTTATCGGTCACTGGTGCCGCCGCTGGCCGCCAGCCCGGGCGGCGTCGGTGCCTGCTGGGTGCTCCTGGCTGCTCTGCTGTGCAGCTGAGGTCCTGCTGGCAGGGATTTCCTTGGGTGAGGAGCGATACTGGAACGACTTAATGTTTTAAGGGGATGTGGGACTGAGGGATCACTGCTGTCAAAGGTGTGAGGTTAGAGTAAGCCTTAGTACGGTGCTTTAATGACATGTGTGTGAGGTTTGAGTTAAGGCCATGCTCACGTTTATGTACGAAGAGTGCAGGGCTTGTAATATTTAAGTATGCTGGGTAGTGGAAGGTGATGTGTAAGCTGGGTTGGTGGTGGAAGCTAAGGTATTTGCTGTGCATCTGTCTAAGCTCTTCAATCTGAAGCTGTACACCAGGCTCTTTCAGAAATAGCTATGTGGCTGTGAATAGATTTGCAGTCCTTTGAACTGGAAATTACCTGTCAACTATGAATTGAGCCTTGCTTTGAGTAGGGAGCTGGACCTCCAGAGGTGCCCTAGCCCAGACTGTGCTGTTTTTTCCATGACCGTAGGTGGTGTCTCCAGGGTGTCAGGAGTCAGTGGTGCTGGCTGTGTGGGCTCATTCACATCACAAATCAGGTGGATTTCAGTGCACGTGGGGGTCGAGTCATCTGCTTCTAAGTAGCTTGCTTAGTGCTCTGTTTGCATTAAGTGAGGGCTAAATTGCTTGTGTAGCTTGCTTGTAATTGTTTTTCTGATGGGGAATGAAGGGAGTAGTTTGGCAAGTGGCCTGACAAGTTTGTCACTCCAGTAGAAATGTGTTGGTAGTATAAGCAGAGACATTCTGGAGTAGTAGCGATGGATCTAGTGCTCCTGGCAGTTTGTGTCTTGAAAACTACACACCTTGAGTGGGAGCTTACTATCTAGGCAAGCCAGGTTGTTATTTTGACTGCTGTGAGTGTTCCTATTTGAACAGAAATGTATCCTGTCTGACTCTACTATGCGGGGATTAAGTTCCTACAGGATTTTAGGTAACTGAGTCAAAATATTGTGTAACTGATACCCATATGATCAAGCATGAATACAGTTTCAGACAGGCTACCTGTGGTTATGGCTGTCCCAAGCAGAACTCTCTTCACCCCTTTTTGAAGTGGCTCTCTCCATTCAGAAGTGGATACCCATGCATATATAGAAACCTTTGTCAGCTTCCATTAGGTAGGACTGATGTTCATTGGTCTGTGTGCTGTTCAACAACTAAGAATGGTTTCTTTATGTAACACTAAGATGTGGGCTGACTGGAGAGCTCAGGGCAGTATAGTGCTTTAGATTACACAGCCCTGTCCAACCCTGAAAATGGGGTAACAAGATGCAATGTTTAATTGCTGAATAAGAGGCTAGTGACCTGAAGGATGTGCATGTCAAAGCTTATTTGGGGACAATCTGTATGGATAAAACAGAACAAATGTTCATATTGTAAGAAACCAAATCAGTGGTGACTTAGAGCTTTTTGCATTTATCATATGATTTGCAGCATGTGGCACAATTGGGTTTTTGAAGGAGGAGATGGAAGCTTGAACTATCCTTTGGCAAAGTCTTATCCCCACACCAGCTGACATGCAGTGTACAGAAGGATAAGTTGGGTGGAGTGTGAAAAAGGGCATGTAGGAGGCTGAGACTGAGGCAGTGTGTAGGCAAAAGCTGAGTTACAGAGAAGAGTCTTTGGCTGTCAGTAACACGCAGGGAGCAGTTGTGCATTGATGGCAAAGACTGAGTGGAGTAAGATGTGGAATGGACAGACTGGGTGGCAACAGAAGCAGTTGTCATGATCAAGTGAGAGTAACGGTGTAGAGAGGGTTGCACATGTTTTTTTCTTACAAAACTGGAAGATGTCCTCCTTGTAGGAGGAGGAGGCAAAGATGACTTCTGAAGTCATCCAGTCAGCTGGATAACAGGATAATAAATCAAAGATAATTGGAGAAAATGACTTCAAGTGGTTTAGCTGAAAGCATCAAGTAGGAAACACAGTTGGCAGGGCAGGAAACTGCTTCTACTGTCACTGGTGGCAGGTATTTATTTAATTTGGCTGTTGGCACAGCTCCAGACAGCATGGATGTAACTTGGTAGTGGCACTTTTAAGCTGGTAGTGGGGAGTTGGCTTCAGTTATTTGTACCTAAAGCTCTTCTACACTCTGAATTTCAGTATTTAGTTTGAATTGCGGTTTTGACAAGAATTCCTCAGGTTAATTTCTCTCAGTCATGTAAAGCTTAAACTGGTCACTTCCATGTTTTTAATGCCAGGTCATGGTTCTAATATCTAGCTAGTAAACATCTCATTTCATGCTGTGCTAGCATGAGAAGGTGAACTGGCTTCAGACCCCTTGTTTGCTGAGGAATAACGTGTGCTTCCTTAGCAACAGTGCTGTTGGGTTTCCAGTTAGTAATGAGTGAACCCGTCTCTATGCTGCTGTGCTGGCAGAGCTCTTTGGTCCTGGACTAGACCCATCCAACACGTCTCTTGTCAAGAAGATGTGTTTATCTTTTGCTGTATGAAAGCACCGTGTTGATGATCTGATAGGGAGTGGAAGTGTCAGCAAACAGGGCTCTGTCCTGCTGTCTGATCTTCAGTGTCACTGGTGGGGCAGAGGAGCAGGACGTGATGTTGCAGAGTGGCTGGAGAAGGGCCCTGTCTGGTGGCCAGTGGCTTGCAGCAGTCAGGTGAAATGTGCCATCTGTTCAGGGAGGCTGTTATTGAACAGAAGCGATCTCCTCCGTGGGATGGATTTTAGCTTATTGGTTGTTCCACAATTTCTTTTTTTTTCTGGGATATCCCTAATGGTAGTTTGCCTGAACTCGTGTAATTCTCTGCATAATGCTGATGGTTGTCTATTACTTCTAGCTAACTACAATGACTTGTACCAGTGGTCAGTGGAATCCTTCTCAGACTTCTGGGCTGAATTCTGGAAGTACAGTAACATCGTGTGCTCTCGCCTGTACGATGAGGTAAGTGTGGGTTTAGCTTTTAGCAGTCAAGTGCAGCATGAAGGGGAAATCAGTTTTACAATCAGTCCTTTGACCTGTTCCTGTAACCTTGGCAAGCCATATGAGAAATCAGTCAAGTGTATATTCCTGAACTTCCTTGTGTGGTGGTTGGTGGTGGTCTGTTGCAGTGCACTTTAGGACAGTGAAATCCTCAAGTTCTACTGTCTTACCCAATTCTGCTGTAGGGTGCTTGTGGTCATGTGCTCTCACATACCTTGGCAGTCTGCCTGCTTCTGAGTGGTCTTTCAATATATTGCCTTCTGCTTTAGAGTTGTGATATTTAGAATATCATCTTGAATTTGTGAATGCTGGCATGCAGTCAAGTTCATGTTTTTATTCCTTGAGTGAGCTTAGATAAGTACACCTGATCCACCTGGGCTTTGTAGAACTGGTTGTGGAAGTCTCTGCAGTCAGATGTAGGCTTGAAGTGTATCTGAGGGAATGGTAGTGGTTGAACACAATCACAAGTGGAATACCAGAACATGCCACAGTGTGGCTTAAAAATTACTTTGTCTTGCAAATGGAGCACAAAGCTGGAGCCTTCATACAGTCCTGTGTAGGACATCAACATCACCCTGCAGTTTATCTGAGGAAGATGATGGGCTCATTCCTGCAAATGCTTGATGGAGAAGAACCTTCATGGAACTTAACAGAGGACTGGATTTATCTTAATCCCTGGAGGCCATCTGTTCCAAGAACACTCAGAGTACTGGCACTTCTGCAAAAGAAACTGCTAAGTCTTCTTTGCTTTTTCCTGTCTTACAAATGTCTGTGTACTGCATGATAGGATAGATCAAGTGATTCCTCCTGCCATGAAACTGCTCAGGTGTCTTAATGTGACCTACCCTTTAGAAGAGTGAATTTAGAAGGAATGTAAGGGTTAGGGTTAGGTTGCTTTCTGAACTATGTAGTCTGAAGACTGTAAACACTTTTTAGTTTTTTTACTAGAGCTAGTGGTTCAAAATCTGGCCAGGTTGTATTTGGATACTGTATTTTCACTCTACAGTCTGTACTGTCAGCAAGACTGTCTTTCTAAATTTCCCCATCAATGCAAATTGCCCTGAGCAAGCAGTTCAAAGGAGCTGTTTTGCACCCTTGGACTGAGCAAGCTGGACAGTAACAGTTCTTGTTCCCTTGACTTGCTGGAGTGGCACTCCTGGAGATCTGCCCCTCCAGACAGCACTAGTGGCTGGGGAACTGGAAGGGAGACCCAAGCAGGCAATGGTGGCCTAAAAATGGATGTTTTTCTGAGGAAGAGAAACAAGAATGCAGTGTCTAGGAAGGCTTTAACTAGACTACTTGTGATCTTCCAGGCCCCTGCTTGTCTATTCTACAAGGTTCCTGCTGTGGTGTGAGATCTTAAATCAGGATAAGGCAGAGTCAGCTGATGGACAAGTACTGCAGAAGATACTTGACTCACTCTTCATGGATATTGCAGTTTGCCTCTAACTTTCCTTCAGTGTCACCTTCAAGACTTGGCTCCAGCTTTGCTGAGCCTCAAAGCTGTCTTGCTGTTAGTCCTTATTGTTGGTCCCTTTCTGGTGAGCATCAGGAGGAAAGGATGGTCACAGTACCTGGGCTGTTCTGTGGTATCTAAAGGGCTGATTTATTTGAAGTGTCTTATTTGAAGGAAGATAACTTATTTTCATGAAAAGAAGAGCTGACTCCTTTGTCCCCAGCCAGTGAAACAGCCAGTTTCTACTTTCATAGGTCATTCTACCAAAAAACCAGTAACATCTCATGTATATATGATCCAGGCAGCCAGTGTTTTATTGAAACTTAGTGAAGTTTTTAAGTGTTTGGTGTAGATGTGTCCATGTTACTCTGTAGCAATTGATACACATGTCACTTCCAAAAAGAACAAAGATACTTGCACTGTACAGAGCTATACTGGCACAGCTGTTTTGGCATTGCTATGCCAAGTTAGAAATAGTTGATTCTTCAATGAGGAATGTAGTGTAAATATATTTTGTTTGCTAGAAGAAACGTGTGACAGCAGAGGGGCTGCTTTGAGTATTCTGCTGGTGTCTGTTGTTGAGGTTTTCATGGGACATGCTGTTTTGCTCTTTGGTCACAGAACATCATATGTACCACAGTAGGGCAAGGATTGTTGGTTTCTGAAGGGTGAGATTCTTCCTCAAAGGGATAGTCTCTGTTTTAGAGTAAGCAGAATCTGTGGGGCATGGTAATGTATGGTTATACCAAGGAGGGGAAATGCATCAGAGGTGTGGACAGAGGGACCTGCTAATGTGATGCTTATCCATGGCTGCTGAGGCCTGGGAAGCAGTCACTGATTAGCTGTTGTGAAGAGCAGTCCTAGAACAGGAGCTGGTGGTGTGGGAGTACAGCTGGTGCTTGGCACGTTCACCTAACCACACAAATTGGCCTTGTCTGCCTTCGTGCTGCTGTGTGAGTAGGAGTGGAGCCTTACTTGTTTAATGAGGACTGCAGTTGGCAGGACTGGGGACTGCTGCTTTTCCTTTCCTGTAGACTTGCTGAGCATTTCAGACTGCATGAAGTGAAAGCTTTCTAGCAAAGCTCTGCATTTTCATAGACTTGCTAGAACTGGGATCTTCTTCTAAATTAGCAGACCTTGAGTTTCTGTTGTTTGCTGAGAAATTCTCCCTAAGGGAGAGATCAGATTGTCCATATAACAAAGTACCACTTCTAAAGAGATTTGGCTTAACTAGGAATCATAAGTATTACCTGAGCAGAAAACAATGGAGCATCAAGTGTGTTAGGTCCAGCACCTTATGCTATTGGAGCTCTTTGAAGGGGTGTTCCACTTCTGGAAAGAGTAGGTCTTAGATCTTGTCCTAGAAAATACTGAAAACATTCTGTGCACTTTTCTTCAAGATAAGGAAGTCAGTAATGAGTCGGTTTTAAGAGTGGCTTCTAATTACTGCAGTAATATATGTTGGTATAAAAAAATTCTGCAGTTTGAGTAGATAAATCATAGGTATTATAAGTCAGTTCTAGCTAATTGATATGAGGAAATAAGTCTACTGGAGTTCCCATTTTTAGAAAACTTGGTTGAAATGAGGTGATACAGTAGAGCACTTACACATGAGCTTTAACTTCTTTTATAAAAGTGAATTTTGGGATTGCCTCCAGTAATAATTACACTGCACATCTCAAGCACACAATGGGAATGGGAAGTATTTTGAGTTCTATCTGGCTTTCAGAAGAGGCTTTTACTTGGTCGAAAAGAATGCTCTTTCTGTAATGCATGTGCAGTCCATGGGAGAAACCTGAGGGTATAAACTGAAGCTTTCAAAAACAACTGTAAAATGAAGTTTTAGTTTAAAGATTAGAGTACTGCTGCTGGGCAGTTGAATCTCTAAATATTGGGGCATTTCAGAAGGAATTCACATACTTTGGTGGCTAATGCAAAGGGAGCCTTCACTGATCACTTGTTAAAGGTATAGTCTTACCTGTGGCTTACTAAGGGGTAATAATATTTTGTGGCTTAACTAGTTTGAGATAAGGGGAAGTTTTCAGCTGAACATTCTTTGATGATTTTTCATTGCATTTTTCAATTCTTTGCATGTCTTAGTCCTCAATAGGGAGTTGGTTAATATGGGCTTTCAACATTGTTGGACTCTAGAAAACTGCAGATGGTAGAAATGTGCAATCCCAGTCTGTAATACAATATTTGTTAGTCAAAGAGGTTAATAGTAGTAGCACTTCTGCACTCTGGATGAAGGTGTGGAGTTCTTAAGTTTGCTGCAACTTCATCCTGAAAGATGGTGAGTTGAAATAAGAAGCTTGAACTCTGCACAGTTCACTTTTTTAGTCTAGGGTTAATTTGAATTACCATTGTCCAAGTTCCTGGTGTTGTTCTGTGTACCTTGTGACTCATGCTGAGGGAGAATCGGCGCTCATACCTTCCTCTGCTTCAGTTTTCCTGAGGGGGAGGCTGGAGTGCATGGCTGGGCTGCTCCCAGGCACAAAACCTCAGTGTGCTGTGGTTTGTGTGTCTTGAGGGCTGGAAGCCACAGTGGTTTGCTTCACTTGTATATTTAGGGCTGGTCTGAAGGCAGGACTGTCAGCAAGGAGCTCTTCCTGATTCTGTTGTAATTGTCTTTGCTTGTGACAGTTGACAAATAATTAATCTTTTCAGGCCTGTAATTACAGGATCTAGTGCCTGTTTGCCATCTGTGAGCTGTGAGAAATGATTCTTGCCTAATGGAGTGTGTGAAGAGCTTGGAATGAGTTAGCTGATTGCTGTACAAGGCTCTGAAAAAGAAACTGTTGGTTTCCCAGGAGTGTGTTGTGTTTTCCCAGGTGGTTGACACATCCAAAAGCATTGCGGATGTCCCGGAGTGGTTCAAGGGCAGCCGCCTCAACTACGCAGAAAACCTTCTGAGGCACAAGGACAATGACAAGATTGCACTGTATGCAGCAAGTAAGAGAACTAATGGCTTGTATTTATAGGTGACAAGACTGGGCCTTATAAAATAGCTCTGCTTTTTATGAAACCTGGAAATAAACTGGCTTGGGTGAGGACAGAAGAGGAAGATGAAGGCAGTAACTGTGGAAACCACAATACAGCTCTGCAACAAACACCTAAACATGCACTGGGACTATAGGTGGTTCTAAAGTCCTTGGCAAACTAAATGAAGTTTTCTTAGAATGTCTTGAACTGCATTCAGGTAGTGGCAGTCATGCTGTTTTAGTGTCAGTATTTGAGCTATTCATGTTTGTCATAAACACTAGCACAGTGCTTGCCTTTGGGAGTATTTTGGCACTGTTGCTTGATGTTGTCCTGCACACCCTCTTCCTATGCCTTTTATCTTTGGAATACTAAGGACTACATGGGGCGTAGGTAGGAATTAACTTTCCATTTGACAATACAGAAAGGAAGCATAGGTACATGCATGGAAGATTTGGGATTTTGCTTTACTGGAACACTAAAGCTCAGTCTTAATTCCTTGTTGGACTGGAGAAGATTTAAGTGTAGTAAAATGTGTGTATACTCACAATGAGGATGGTAATGTTAAGATAAAATCCTGTCCATATATCTGCTGACTTTGGTATTTTAAAAAAATTATTCTAATCTGTTAGATGGGATTAGCTTCCATGCAGGTGTGTGAGTGCTTCCTAAGGGAGCTGTGTTCTGAGCTCCCCTTTTCCTGGACCTAATCCTTATCAGAAGACTGACCAAGCAGTGATGCTTCTTAATACCTTAACAACAAACAATGCAGTCCTACAGCTCATTAGCAAATGGTGCAGAACTATAAATTGATTGTGTAGGTGTTAAGTCTTAGTTTCTGATTTCTGATGCATGGAGTTCAGGTTTTGAATTACATAAATATTGTTCTGATAGCTGTTTAAAAACAATGTGAGACAACAGAATTGTTTTTTGTAAGCTTACTGCTGAAGAAATACTTATCAGTTGCATTTTGTTGGTTGGAGGTATTGAAAGAAACCTCTTTGATCATACATATACATAAAAATCAACTACCAGTTGAGGGAAAATGTATAAATCTGTGACTCAGTTTTGGTGTAATGAGAATTGATCTGGTGGAAACTGATAGAAATGAGGCTTGTAACAAAGCTAGCTTCAAGGTGAGGAACTCGGTGCCTTCAGGTTTTAAGACCATTAGAAAAGCTTCTTATGTATTATTTAATGGAGAAAAAAATCAATGTAGTTAAGTACATCTTGTGCAAGAGCTGAAAGCCCAACACTGATTAGTAAGTCAACTCTAAATGTGTGTAGAATTGACACAATTGATTTAATGTTAAAAGCTAAGCATGCAACTTGAGAAGAAGTGGAGTTAAATACTTTCAGTTCAAATTATTGAAGGAATCATTACCAACTTTGAATTATTTGGTTGACTTGTGATTACATTGTCCTTGTAGATCTTGTTTGTTAGGAAGTCATGGGGTGTACCAGAGACTCACTGCTTTGTGTCACATATTCACAGGTGAAGATACCTAAAGGGGCAAATTCTTTTCCTGTTGAATACAGTTCTCAGTGCTGGAGTCAACACATTGCTCCTCTGTAGTGAACAGACTTCCACCTGCATTTCTTTTCATGACCTTCTGCTGTATTTAATCTTCTTAAGGTCTCTTAAGTCAGAGTATTTTTTGTTAACCCCTCGCTGCTAGGTCAGAGTGGCATTTTGGGAACCTGTTTGTGGATTCACTAGGGATGAGTCTGTGGGAGCAGTGTGGGTGTACAGAGCACAGGAATGTCCATGTAACTTTTCTAAACCATTTTGCTTGTTGCTGGCACTTGCTGTTAATGGCTTGTGACTCCCTTCTCCTGGGGGCTTTAATAATGGAGCAAGATCAGAGTCCCATTTCCTGTTGTTCTGTGGGAACCCAGAATCTGCTGGCAGCCCCTGCATTGACTTCTGTGGTGGTTCCCATCACAACCTGCTCTTTTACTCCACATGAAGTCCACATTTACTGGGATGGAAGTCTGAGGCAAAAGAGTAAAAATAACTGTTCCCTGCTTGTGGAAATCAGAGCGATGGGGGCTGTTCTGCAGAGACTGGCTGTACCAGGGCATGCAGCATGCTCCTGTTGTGACATCCTTGGCGTAAGCACTGGGTACTGGAAACAGGACAAGCCAAATGCTTTGCAGGAGTCACATGGAGGAAATACCAGAAGGGACCTTTAAGATGGCAAACTTTGCCTTTCATAACATTTAGATTTGTTCATTTTGTTTCATGAGTGATTTATTAACAGCTTATGTAACATCTGGCATTCAGTACAAAAATAAAAACACCCTGCAGATCTTTTTGGAGGTAATTGGAATCTGGTTTAGTTTATTTGCATTGTGGCACATTGGCAAATGCAGATGTTTAAACATATATTGATGTCAGACCTTAGTAAGTATGTGCAAAATTTCCTAGTCAACAGTGACTTGATGTAATAAAACCTAAAGTTGGCACCTTGATGCTGCTTCCTAGACCTAATGAGAACTTAGCAAAAAGGGAAAATGAGGCTGTTCTTTCCATGCTAGAAAGGAGCCTTGATGAGTGCAGTCTATCATGAATGCCCAGAACACACCTTTCTCCAGGGGTTAGTTTGCATTTCCACATGTGTTCATGTCTTTAAAACTGTCCTTCTGCCTACTGAATGTGTGTTACTGATTAATACTCGATTCCCATTGAAAAGAAAAGCTTGGTACAGCATAAGAGAAATTTGAAAAGCAAAAAATGTAATTATTAGTAGAAAATAGTCTAAAACTGCTTTTTGTTTTTCTTCCAGAATTAGTAGTTTGTACTAGACACTACTTACATTGGAATGCATTATTTCTGACTGGTTGTTTTAATCTTCTTTCCTCAGAGGAAGGCAAGGAAGAAATCTTGAAAGTGACTTTTGAAGAACTGAGACAAGCTGTGGCTTTGTATGCTGCAGCCATGAGGAAGATGGGAGTAAAAGTAGGAGACAGAGTTGTGGGTAAGTTGTTGTTTTTAAGGATAGGAGGTGAAATTCTTGAAATAAGTTGTCAGAGTTATAGAAACATGAATATTAAATACCAATTCATAGAAACATTCTAAAGAAAAGGCTTTTATGCTGCTATATTTATGTTTGTGTGAAATACACTGGATTAGGCTGCAAGCTCTCTAGCACTGGAGAGGGAAGGAAAATACCTCATTCATAACTTCACTAAGGTCTGCTTCATAAGTGCTCTGTGGAAGCAGAGGTGATGAGGACATTGCATCTAGCTGAGCCTTCACTCACCAGGGCTGGCAGATCCACACTGTGGCAGTTTTGAAAATCATGGCCCCAGGTTGGTTGTTCTGGTGCCAGCTGGCAATAACTGACCCTGCAGCCCCAGGTAATATGGGGCATTGAGCAGTTACTGTTCATACTGTATTGGTGCAGAGCTTCATAGTTAGAATCCTGTGATCCTTTCAGCAACTCTCAATTTTCTGGACATGTGTTTTCTCAGTCATAAGACTGTCATGCTGGATTTTTCTATACAAACAGGTTTTTGTCTTGTGAACAGCTTGTACAGAACACAATTGGAATCCTAGAATCTTTCTGGTTGGAAGAGACCTTTAAGATCATCAAGTCCTCTTGTTCATCCAGCACTGAGAGGAGTCCAGGCATAGAAGGAAGTTAGGCTGGCCTCAGTCCATTTATTTCTAAGCTGCTGGGTTTGGTCTTCCATCTGAGCCACTTCATCTTTGTACTTCATGTGCTCTGATGTACATGCTCCAGTTTTGTCATGGCAGTTTTGACTTACACTTCAGTATCCCTGAAACTCCCTCACCCCAGCCTGGTAGTTCTGCTGATGTGTGTATCTATCTTACTACTGGAACCACATGTTCTTTGAGCAATACTTGGCCATTATCCTAAGTATGTGTAAATTCTTATATGATGCAAACTGAAAATGATGAAACTGGTTTGTTTTCTGTTTGTTACAAACAGAACTCAAACATGTCTTCAAGAACAGAAGGATATGCATTATTTTTATTAACCCCCCCAAACATGACCTGCAGATGTAAAATACACTTGAGAGCTCATACCTCATGCATATGGTATGAGCATCCTATGGAACTGGTAACTGAACATTATCACAGTTGGTAGCTTTTTTAACTTGGAATTAGAGCCACATCTTTAATTGGATATGAACCATCCAGTGAGGTTGGGAGACTGAGTGAAGACTGAGTTAAATGCTCTGATTTGTCTCCTTTTTCAATCTTAATACTGTCATGTTCATATCTGACAATGTGAGGAGCAACAACCTCTGTCTGAAAACAGAGTAGGAAAACTTACACTCTGCATGTCTGAGCATTTACAGCTTCAGTGTTCTTTCTTACTACCTATCCTCTGATGTGTACATCAGATGGTAAAAGTGGGTTATATGTGTTATAAAAAGTTGCCTCTGATATTGGCAAAACATTACACAATTATGCATAGAACTGGAAACTTGGATATCATGTAACCAAAGTCTTAGGGTTTTGTTGACCCATTTTGATGCTTTCTGTATATGCTGTTTGCCACTGTGAAGCACATGGGATGCACTCCTTTTTGACTTTAAGTGAAATTTCTCCCAATGTGTACAAAAAAATTCTTGATACTGTTTTATAGACTGTGAGGATTTAATACACTACCTATTGCTTCATAAGTGAAGGTAGTAATAACGGGCCTCAAAGCTGTTCTTCCATATGTATTGCTGACTGTTAAACTGAAGGATTAAATCTTGTGCCTAGGTAGCAGAAAGCTCTGTACCAGCTTCAGGCCCCATACATGATGAAATATGTTGTGGGAAAGTGATGGGCAATGCAGAGGGGTAGTTACTGGATATGTTTTACTCGTTTCTATGAATGAAAACTGTGTCCTGCTCTTGGGAGAGAAGAGGTCTGTGCTGACTCCAGTGCTGAGCCTGAAAGGACTTGTAGTGATTTCAAGAGGGAGGATGTCTGGCTATCTGGTGCTGTTACTGTTAATTAAAAAAAACTACCTACCAAAGCCAAAAACAAAGGAAAAAGGACACATACATTGAAAGTACAGTGGAAACCACTATTTGGATCTCTGCTCCCTACATGTCTTCAGTTAAGCTCCCATCATTTGAGTAAGCTGCAACTTGGTTTTTTTTTGTTTTTGTTTTATTGTGGTTCTTTTTCTTGGTCTCTTTCTGCCTTTCCTGAGGAAAAAATTTCCTCTCTGGCACTTCCACCCCAGAGACTCTTCTGCCCAGCTGCTCTAGGTACTCGGTATCTGTGCTGGGCCCCTTGAGCATTTCAATAGCTTAAGCATGAATGGTTAGAGCTTATTTGTGGCAGCAGGCTTGTGTTGTGCTGGGGGTCACTACAGAGCCCTCTACTTTTGATATCAGAAAGGATTAATGCATCTAGGCAACCTGTTTCCCTAAAATTGCAATACATTTTTAGGCTCAGTTAAAGCTTTTTAAATTATCCAGAGTCTTCAAATGCTTTTTTTTCTTCTGGGTAGTTGCTTACATTGTGCTTTTTTTCCACTCCATCCTCTTAACTCTGGCTGTTGGAGAGACTTTTCCCTGTAGTCTTCAGCCAGATGAGCCCATATTGGCTCCCATTAGTTGAGCTATTACACAGTTCCTCCTCCTTCCCTTCCCCTGGTGCCCCCAGTCCTAGACTCCTGAGTCTGACATTGCTTTGGGCAGGAGCCCATATTTAGGGAGAGCTTTCCTGTGGAAGAGATCTGATGGGATTTTTAACAGCAATCCAGCTTGTTAGATAGTAGTTTTTTTTTAAAAAAAAAACCTGGTTCTTAACCTTATGTATTTTTTCTTTGCCAGGGGATATGGGCAGCTGTTGGAAGAGCTAAACCATAATGTCAGAGGTTGAGGCTGCAGGCTTTTCTCCAAATGCCAAACTGAAGTAGGCCAGAGGTGCTAAGTGCTGGGTGGGGAAGTTTGACCATATACCCACTTATGGTATCAAAGACTGGGCTCTCCAAAGCTTGCCCAAATCTACTGGGACCTAATTTGTTCCACAATTAATAACAGATAGCAGAAGTAAGGGTGGTGGTTCATGCAGTTTATAGCAGTAATATAGGGAATGTTTTTTCTGCTTCTGAAAAATCAGCTTTTAAATGCAAGGGATATATTTTATTAAGTTGATTACAGTTGCCTAGAATCTAGTCAGCCTTCCAGGTTCTGATGCCCTGTGTTGCCACTTTGTCTTAATTTAACATCTTGAGCTGTTGAAATCATACACAAGACCATTAACACTCTTTGCTTTAGAATTTCATCTTGGTGCTCACTGCCCCTAGGACAAGAGTACTTAACTTTTCATTGTACTTAACACATCCCCTAGTTTCTTCAATACAAGTTATGGTTGCATCATCAGTAAGAGTATGTTGAAGTTGGAGGTGTGTGAATGTGGGTGGACAAGCAACAATGTCAGCACTTTCTCAGGCTGATTTCATCCTCACCTCACTTTTCCACCACTAAGAAGGTGGCACTTCATAGTAAATATAACTGAAGCAGATGTGTGGTGAAACATCTCTTGTAATGATGCCTTGCAATACTGTCAGGGATGCTTGAACAGTTGGAAGAGACAAATGCAATACCTAATGCAAGCTGCACATATCCACATGGGAAGTGCTTCTGGTCTCCCACTGGCCATCTGCTAGGCAAATAACAATGACTGCAGC